TAGCATTATTCAGATTTTCACCCTCCTGTTTGTTGTAGTAAAAGTAACTACCCTCCTTCCCCCTCAGCACACACAGAGTCTGAAAGAAAACATTAAAATGTTAGATGGATAATGAATGTGTGTGATTTCTTTCTTGAATTTCCTAGATATTTTCATATCTGGAGATAATTGATTAGAGACAGCCAAGCTTTTGTAAGAAACTACAATTGGACCCTCTGCAAGAATCAGGTTTACTTCAGGTAAAACTTTGGTGCATTTAAAAAAAAATTTGTGGGGACAGGGACATAAATCAGAACACTCTCTATGAACCAAATCAATGGGCACAAGCGTCAGTTCACACTTTAGATAGACACATTTCCAGGCATTAGTATCAAGCCAGGTTAATAAGACATATTTCGATCATTTAAAAGGTTAACATCAACACAGACTGGTTTTTCTCCATGAACAGATAATATCTTGAATGTGGATTGTATATCAGCTGCTTTTGTTACTTCTCTGCCCATCCTTGTCTTTCCAAAGTTGTGATTTCAGATATGGTAGGGATAAGCATTTAAGATTAGTTTCTGAAGAAGGGATGAGTCAGTACACTCTTTAGAGAAGTAGAGATCTTGTCAATTACAGGGAACATTGAGGAAGCTGGTATTTTGAGAAAGGTGTATCCATACCCAAATGTAGGCCTAACAGCTTCAAATAATGTTATCTTAGAAGCTGCTCCTGAAAACCTCTGTGTTCCACTGATACCAGAATTATCTTTAGAATAAAAAGAAATGAAGAATGTGAATGTGTTTTGCAAACAGCAAAATGTTATTGTTAATGAAAAGTATTATTTTTGCATGCTCTCTACGGTGCTTGATGCAGTCCCTTAATCTCTTTCTTTCGAGCCCCAGTTTCTTCTTCTGTTATGTAAGGATAATAATTAATGACCAGAAGCTTGTCTTTTTTTTTTGAGATGGAGTTTTGCTCTGTTGCCCAGGCTGGAGTGCAGTGGCGTGATCTCAGCTCACTACAACCTCCGCCTCCTGGGTTCAAGCGACTCTACTGCCTCAGCCTCCTGTGCAGCTACGATTACAGGCCCGCGCCACCATGCCCAGCTAATTTGTTTTGTATTTTTAGTAGAGACAGGGTTTCCCCATGTTGGCCAGGCTGGTCTGAAACTACTGACCTCAGGTGATCCGCCTGCCTCGGCCTCCCAAAGTGCTGGGACTACAGGCGTGAGCCACCACGCCCAGTCTGAGCTTGTTGTAAAGATTGGTGAGATGGTGAAGATGCAGCAGCTGCCATTTATTGGGTGCTGAATGAATGAGTTGATAGTCGTTTTGGTAGGAGAAACTACATGAAATATGAGACCGCAAGAACACTATGTGTGTGTGTGTGTGTGTGTGTGTGCATGTGTTGGAGGAGGAGGAATGCTGGCAGCTAGGTTCATAAGCTCCAATGAGGTAGAGAAGGGACCTGATGGAGGACATTTTCTCTGCGTGGAAGTCGATGCTGAATCCATAGGAACGAGCTTCTTCGTTGGCTACAAAACTGGGAAACAGTGTGTGTATGTCTTCTAAAGTTTATAAACATGATCATGACACACTAATAACGATGTTTTGGTAGGATTCTCATGTTCTGCTTTGCTTTTAAGTCAAATATCCAGTATATCATACACACTGTTGCTTCTTCCTTTGTTAAATGTCACACTCCATTCTGGCTTATTGACTTCCAGGTGTTTATCTGGTAGTTTATTTCTCCTCCAATATCCTGCACACCAACACTAGACTTATCTTCCTAAAATACCGGTTTTGGCATTTCACTGCCCCACTCAAAAACTATGTAAGGATCTCCAAGGCTATCAGATAAAGTTCACGCTCTGTAACTAGGAAGTCAATTTAACATTTCAGTTCATCTTTCCAATCTTGTTTCCCACTTTGCATGAGACAGTGTGCATTCATATTGTAATAATGATTGTAATCAGTTGGAGTTGGTTTCATTTCTTCAGCTAATAAACAGTTTTTTTTGTCTGATTTTATGGGATGTATGTTATTGGGAAAGTTGGTAAATATAGTACTAATTTATCCAATGAAAAATTTTTCTATTCCAAGGAAATCTGGAAATTAGTATGAATGTATGAATGACTTTTTGACAGTGATTATAGGTATTAAGGAAATTACCATAGCTGATGGAAACCATGTTATGTTGGCCAAGACCATACCTGTATGAAGAACAATCAGAGAGTCAGTCTTAAGAAAATGCTTGTGTCTGGAGTACAGCAAAATAAAAAAAAAACCTCGAGGTGACAAAAGATGTGAGACACATGAAGAGACATAGGCCGTAGAAAAAGTTACAATGAAAAATTTAGAGCAACAAGATTTGGCAGAATATGTTAGTAAAGTAGTTGAGAGCACAGCTGTTTAAATCCCCTCTGTAATACTCACTGGTCATATGACATTGAATGAGCCACTATATAATCTTCATGTAGTTTTTTTTTTTTTTTTAATTTTTTTGAGACAGAGTCTCACTCTGTCATCCAGGCTGGAATGCAGTGGCACAATCTTGGCTCACTGCAACCTCCGCTTCCCAGGTTCCTGCGATTCTCATGCTTTAGCCTCTTGAGTAGCTGGGACTATGGGCACGTGTCGCCACACCCAGCTAATTTTTGTATTTTTAGTAGAGGTGGGGTTTCACCATGTTGGGCAGGCTGGTATGGAACTCCTAGCCTCAAGTGATCTGCCCACCTTGGCCTCCCAAAGTGTTGGGATTA